ATGGCTGACGCATGTATCATTACTTGAACAGTAGATCTGTGACTTGCGCAGTGATCCACAGCCGGGTGTTTTGCTCTCAGTCATGCGCATGTCGTATCCTTCCGCCCAGGTTGATGTAACGACACGTGACGATTAGAAACTTTCTTAATTTGGTTTTGGGTGCTATTTTTATGGTAAAGTTTTATTTATGTTATGTCAAGTCATCTGGTTTCCTTTCCGCAACATCGGGTATATGTGTTTTGCTGAATTTGTGAGTGGTTATGGGGTGTAAACTTCATGTGAGGTGGGGGCGGTCGGGTAGCCTAGTGGCTAAAGCGTTCGCTCGTCACGCCGAAGACCCGGGTTCGATTCCCGACATGGGTACAATGTGTGAAGCAGATTCCTGGTGTCCCCCGCCGTGATATTGCTGGAATATTGCTAAAAGCGGCGTAAAACCATATTCACTCACTCACTCACTCATGTGAGGTGAGGTGAGGTAAGGTGAGGTGAAACGGAGTTTAGCGTTGCGTTCAGGATTATTGGACTTACAGAGCAATGTTCGTATGTGTGTGTATGTATGTGTGCGCGCGCGTGCATGTGTAGGTGGGTGTGCGTGCGTGCGTGCGTGCGTGCGTGCGTGCGTGCATGCGTGCGTGTGTGGCTGCTTGTACTAGTCCGTACTAATGCCGGGTATATAATGCTAGCCCACTGAGATACCATGCCGCAGTTAACATGGATACCCACTCAGACACAGTATACTGACTCCAAATCGACCAGTAATAACACTTTAAGTACCATCTTTAGCCATGATGCGGGGATCTCAGGGCAGACGCTGTATCCACTAGACCACGGAGGCGGCCAACCCACATGTAAGCATTATTTATTTCACGGCACTCAGGTCTGGTACAGGAAAACCTATGTTTCAAAAAGGTTTAATGTCGGATATTGAAAAATAGCACGCTAAAAAAAATAGTCCCAAAAGAGTTGCGTCTCTTAGTCGTGTCAGGATCCGCACTTGTCTCGCCTCAATCCTATAGGTCATCTTGGGCAGCACTTGGGGGGAATCCACATTCGAACTGGACCCACAAGATTCACTTGTTTACGTAACTATTAGTATTTCACTCCCAAATAGCGGCAGTCGTGACCATTATATAGATCCTATTTAGTATCTCTTGACCACACAATACACTCTTACAATCGTCCGTCATGTTGTACCAAATTTGTGCGGAGGGATCGATGGGAATGCGGCTCACAGTGAAATATCGCAGTATCACTACACCCTCTAGGTGTTGTTTAGGTAACGGAATCACCCGAGCTGACCCGAAAGCAAAAATTCGTTTATCGCCGGTTCGAATCCAAGAATTGATCAAATAATAATTCATGGTTTGCCAGCACCCTGTACCGACTCTCAAGCTCACCAAAGTAGTAACTTCGGGCTTTCTTCAACGTTAACCGGACAGGCTGTGGAATAACTGAAAAATGTTCAAAGCAGCGATAAACTCAATTCACTCACTCACTCACACAGGGGTCGGTACTAACCCCACACTGAATCCTGAACCTGCCATCCCTAGGGTGTAGATAGCAGGGGTGACTATTGGTCTGGAAATCACTATTGCTATAACTATTGCTATTGAAAGAAACTATTGCGATAACTATTGATATTGAAAGAAACTATTGCGATAAATATTGATATTGAAAGAAACTATTGCGATAACTATTGATATTGAAAGAAACTATTGCGATAACTATTGATATTGAAAGAAACTATTGCGATAACTATTGATATCGAAAGAAACTATTGCGATAACTATTGCTATTGAAAGAAACTATTGCGATAACTATTGATAATATAATTGAAAGAAACTATTGCGATAACTATAATTGATATTGCAAGCAACTATTGCGATACATATCGATAGTTTTCAGTGTATCATTTGAGATGGATCTTAGAGTTGAATTAAACCTTGGAACTGAAGTTTCTTTTGAATGTGATAACCATAACAACAAATAAAAAGTAGAGTTTCAGATATGACTGATTTATTATTTCTTTACCGTAATAATTTAAGAAAAAGAAACTTCCACATTACCATGTGTAAATTACTACCACTCATTATCAATAGAAAAGCAAATTTGAACAGCATTGCATGTATTTTATTGATATGGTAAATACAATCGAAACTATCGAAATTCCTAACTGAAATCGATACTATTGATCGGAAACTGAATTAACAATCGATTTATTGCCTTAAAGTGCTTACCAATAGTCATATATCGATATTACGATTTATCGTGACACCCCTAGCAGATAGAAACCCTACATTACGTGGTTGGATCAACAGTTCAGTCGGGCGTCACCTCCATCTTCCCGAGACAAGGGAGCTAACCGAATAGAAAACTAGACTTTTATAGTCAGTTAACTCCCTTGCCTTGGGAAGATGCACCTTGTCCCCTGTACTTTGAAAATAAGTTAAAAAGTAAATCCACCTCGAATCTATAATTATTTGGCAAGTCTAGACTGCCTCACCTCTGAAATGAAGCATTGTAATCGTCTCAATTTAGATTTATTTTTATTTTGTAGATATATATCATAAAATAACTTTTTTCTGAGACTAATTGTTTGTTTAGGCGTCACCATGAACAAACGCCCTCGCTTTTATTATCCAAAACATGTGTATGACAGTGTTTGCACTCAACACTTACCTTACTCATGTATGCATCATCGAACGACAATAGTTCTGCATATAGAGTGCATTGATTGACGTTTGACATGTATACGTACAAAGCTTTCAGTACTGATTTAATGATTGTGCGACCATCCATCCGCCCATCTGTCATACCTAAAGTACTAACAGAGAGTGAGGTGTGGCTCGGCTCACGTGATAAACGAGCATCTTTGATGTGTGTACTTTGTATGGAACTGCGTACTTAAATATTAGTGTGTGTGTGTTGACACACAATCGCGCGGAAACGCACACGTCATAAAGACACACACACACACACACACACACTCTCTCTCTCTCTCTCTCTCTCGTTAAATGAACGTTAAATGAACATACAGTCGAACCTCATAGTGTCGAGTGAGTGAGTTGGGTTTTTAGCGCCGCTTTTAACAGTATTACAGTCATATCGCGGCGTTTCAGCTAAATGTGGGAGGAAAGCCCGAAGTGATGCAGGTCTCAGACCACTTCGGTGAAAACCCACAGCACAGGTATGATGCTGACAAATCTAGAAACATAATCGGGGCGAACCGGGATTCGAACCCACAATCATAGGTTTCTGGCGTGACCAAAGGACGCTCATTGTGTCGAACATGGACAAGTTGAATTTCCGGTTGTCTCGAACTCACTTTCCGGTCTCGGTGAACTCGTTCTATATTTAGCATCCTTATGCTCGGATCTTGCAAACTGAATGCGTCAGAATGTGTAACATAGGGCGAACACATTTCTTACGTCACGTACAGAACGATTCAATATCAATATCATAAAGAAGTCACTGAAAACAGTCAGCAAATAATAATATAAACGTTTTATTCGCCAACATGTATTTCGTCATAAGCAATATGAATGGTTCCCGTGAACTACAATTTACATATTGCAAATGGTATATCGCTCTAAAAAATTCTGAATTCTCTCATTTGAACTACCTTTTCAAACACATATTTCCTTAATGTCAAACCGAGGTCTCCTTGGGGCATGTCGATTAAAGTGGTTGTAAGTTTAAGTTTTTTCGGTAGCCCAGTGGTTAAAGCGTTCTCTCGTCACACCAAAGGCACGGGTTCGATTCTCAACATAGGCTTTATGCAAGCCTATCTCCACTGCCGTGATGTTGCTGCAATATTGCTGAGGGCGGTGTAAAACCATGTCACCACTTCCTGACACAGAATTGACACTACTATATTTTAAGGCCGCTTTGAAAGGTTAGGACATGATCGTTTTGGCCGCGCACACACGTTAACTTCATATATTTAACGTCCACAAGACCACATCCATATCCGCAAATAACCATATTTCGTTCAAAATATTTGTTCAGGTTTTTTAAAATAAGAAAACATCCGAATTGTTCGTATTGTCCATATTTACAATTTACAATTTAATTGTACTCGTTGACAGATTGCATTCTTGCTGTCATGAGGTGCGCAAAGTGGTCACATACGTGCTGATGCCTTTTAAAACTCATTCAGTGTCTCCCGTATTTGTCAGGATCCGCTGAACGGGGGTTCGATTCCCAGATTCCAGAGTCTGTCAGTCTTGCTCTCTGTTTCCATCAAAGTGGGACCCGTGAAGACCCAGGGTAGAACAGGTCTTCAACAACCCATGCTTGCCGTCAAAGGCGACTATGTTTGTCGTAAGAGGCGACTAACGGGATCGGGTGGTCAGGCTCGCTGACTTGGTTGATGAATGTCATCGTATCAAATTAGTGTAGATCGCTGCTCATGATATAAATCACTGGATTGTCTGGTCCAGACTCGATTCTTTACAGACCGCCGTCATATAGCTGGAATATTGCTGAGTGCGGCGTTAAACAACAAACAAACAAACAAACAAACACATACTGACTTACAGTGACCTCAAGGGTGAAACACAATGTTTTTAGTGAATACACTGCCAGTCCTAATCCCCTGGTAATTCGTTTCGACGGATTTATGAAAAACTTGGAATAGATTTAGGAATACAGTCATGCAGGCCCATTTTGTTCCTCTTACAACGCCAGACTTGCACACTGCGGCACCCAAATCACATTCACTCATAGTTTGATAACGTTCGATCATAATACTGGGGGCGGTGGGTATCCTAGTGGTTAAAGCGTTTGCTCGTCACGCCGAAGGCGAGAGTTCGATTCCCGACATAGGTACAATCTATGAAGCCCATTTCGGGTGTCCCCCGCTATGGTATTACTGGAATATTACTAAAAGCGGCGTAAAACCATACTCACTCACTCACAATACTGATTCGAGAGGACGACCCGTACTTTGGCCAGTATGCGAAGCGATAACATTCACCCAAACCTTGCTTGTGTTGCAGGTCTGAGTCAAGAATACATATACAGTAAACTACGTTTATAACGAACACGCTTATAACGAACTGACGGATATAACGAACTGCTTTCTGGTCCCAGCCATTTGCTGTATATATGTTGTATATATGATTATAATAAACTACGGTTATAACGAAAAGTAATAGTGACCCCTTTGAGTTCGTTATAACCGTAGTTTACTGTATTGTGTCTCACGTGGTATAGTTCTCAGACAGTAATAGATATACTTCTCAAAACAAGCTAAAGAATGCACACAGCAGGAAGGCTGTATGTTGCAATGCCCACCAACCTTGACATAAGTCATAAGAAAGAAAATTTCGGGTGTTCTTAAACTTCTGTTGAGTAATATAGTGTATGCGATAGAACCCCAGACAGTGCAGTTATTATAGGAACATGATACATGTGTTGATACACGTAGGCTCAGTTTGGTATTTGTGGATTTTCTGATGGAGAGATAGACCCCATCCACACCTGTACAAATCAACAGGTAAGGCGATGCATTGTCCTAGAAATGGATACCCCAAATGTGCAAGTCATTTTTAGACAGTCTGTGGTGAAACCCGCATAGCTTAAACCTGCTGTCAGCTTGTGGCACCGTGGATGGTTGCTGGAAAGAGCATCTCCTGACCTCATTCATGATTAATGACAGCATGGCCACACAACTGTAAGGGGACAAAGATATATATCATGGTCTATGAAGTATTGTATTTCCGTGCAATACAACAGACACGGTGTCATACAACAAATACATTAACCCTCTTTAAAGGAATGCTGGGCAATGGCGGAGGAACTGAACATCATTCCCACGAGCGAACACGTCATTGTGCATGTAAACAATCGCACATGCACGCACGCACGCACGCACGCACGCACGCACGCACGCACGCATCAGTCACTCTCAAACACTTTATGTATCAGACCGGTGAATGCGTTAATGCTAATTATTTTAGTTGTCATCGATATCCCCATAAGCTACAGGTTTCTGGATATAGAACTTCCCAAAACCATTATGTTTCTTCTGAATTCGACGCCTCTGGACGAGGATACTGAATTTGTTTATGTGGCCTATAAACATAAGACTTTCTACAGAGCAGCAAGTCGTACACAACACCGAGAGGATGAGTGTTTCTGTCGGTGACGCAACTCGGGTTTGGACCTGGAGCAAGGAAACCATTTAAGCATCGACCCCTGTTCGTGGCTGTGGAGGGATGAAGTGAATGAGTGAGCTTCACACAACCTTGAACTGTATTGCAGTTAAATCAAGAGGAGACAAGTTGATGTGGGATAAAAGCCCGAGGTGATGGAGGTATTACGACGCTTGTACCATTTTGGTGAAACCCACGATCATGGGATTGGTGCTGAAAAGGAAAGAAACAAGATGGAAGCGGCTGTAGCTTGGTTTCTGGCACGCCTAAGGGACGCAAACCCCCACTCACCCCCACCCCCCCACCCCCCCAAAAAAAAACCAAACCAAAAAAAACCCATCAAAACAACAACCAACAACAACAACAAAAAACCAAAAAACCAAAACAAAACACACACACATACACAAACTATCACACACCCATACGCACGCAAACACACACACACACACACTCTCTCTCTCTCTCTCTCACACACACACATACACACACCACACATACAAACATATCTCTCTCACAAACACACACCACATCACACACACACACACAAACTCCCATACACTCATACGCACGCACAAACACACACACACTCTCTCTCTCTCTCTCTCTCTCTCTCTCTCTCTCTCTCTCTCTCTCACACCACATCACACACGCTACTATTTATTCCCTCATTTTTTCACAACAAACACTGTTCTCAAACTCCATCTTCTGTTATACAGGTATGTGTCATGAAACAAAAGGTTAAATGTCAAGGTCGTATTACCGTCGTGCAACACGCACTGTAGATTCGGATCACAGCGCAGCAAACAGAGAGTCGGTGAAGGTCACGTCATTTGCCTTGTGATGACGTCGACGCGCTCTTTGCTTTCAAGAATCAGAACACGCACAACGTGTGTGTTATTCACACCATATGTTTTTTTCCGATAACAATTCAGTATCAAAGTAAACAAGGTTAAGGTATTCATCCATTTCAAAGAAATCTTTTCTCAAGACTCAAGTCAACATGACGCTCACACGTAGATCTAACCTTCCGGTTGACGGATCACGTGCTGCATCGTGGGATTTGGAAATACATGTACCATGTGATTATTTCTTGCTGGATGCTGTTTGCCTCTCATTGATGTAAAAAATACAATTCATCTTTCAAGAATTGACTCAGTTTCAACGCTAATAATGTTCTGGGAACCATTAAATCACTCCAAACAAATTGGAGTACAGAAATACGATGAAGTCATCCCAAAATAGACTCCTTACACAAAGCCACCCCGGCACAACATCCTACTCTGCCGAAGATGAGGTGCGCTGCACACAATGCCCTTCTACCGGTGGAGGGAATGTCAAGTAATGTTTGATTGCTTACGACCCGAAAAACGATGTGCAGTACAATGACTTTATGCACGAAATCTGCACTAATACATCAGATGTCGTTGTACTACCCGTTAAGATCCGGGTTAGAACTGGTCTTCAGCAATCCATGCTTGTCGCAATGTCCGACGAACGGGATCGGGTGGTCAGGCTTGCTGATTTGGTCTTTGCGTCTCATCGTATCCCAAATGCGTAGATCGATGCTCATGATGTCAATCACTGGATTGTCAGCTCGATCATTAACAGACCACCATCATATAGCTGGAATGTTGCTGAGCATGGAGTTAAACAACAACATAACAGAAAACTAATATTGTCATGGGGATTTGTAGTGGGGACTCCCCATTGATTTGGAAGCCCTGTAGATAAAAAGCTCGCTAATCACACCGAAAGCCTGGATTCGATAGGTTCATGTGTGAAACAAATTTCTGGTGTCCCCCGCCATGAAATCGCCGACATATTGCTAAAAGCAGCGTAAACCCAAACACGGAACTACAATTACTGTTGGATACTACCGCAAACGTATTGCGGTGCCACCACAATATCAGTCCGATACCACCTCGATTGTTTAGCGATACCACCTCAATCATAGTGGGATACTACCGCAGGTGGTTGGAGTACCCTGGTGAGATTACAGCGATGTGTTGTAGTTCTGTGATCACCCCCCCCCCCCCCCCCCCCACACACACACACACCACACCCCCACACACACCCCCACACACCCCCCCCCCCCCACACACACACACACAAACACACACACCACCACCAACAACTTTAATGTATATATGTTACACCCTGTACATATACGGGAGGCCCCGTCGTCAAAGGCGCCGCAATTCGCTGTGCGCTCCAGAAACCTATGATCGTGGTTTCGAATCCCGGTTCGCCCCGATCATGTTTCTAGTTTTGTCAACACCCTACCCGCGCTCGGGGGTTTAATCAAATATCAGGTGTATAGACATAGATGTGAGCCATTAATGGGCCATTTGCACACATCGGTATATTTTAAACGCATCCGCATCCGCATCCGCATCCGCATCCGCATCCGCATCCGCAAACTTGCTTTTGTAGAAAACACACTGGGGCATCCACACCTGCATCCCTACATTTTGGGTACGTATCCCGCACCCGGGGTTTTCGATTCCAGACCAATGTTTGCGGATCCTGATGGACCTTCGGGTAAAATAGCCCCTTTCGTGACGTCACATTATATATATACAACATGTAGACCTATGTTTAAATTTACATGCTCTTAAAAGGATTCCGGTTACTTCGTGTTAATTTTCGCTGTTTCATCTTTTACTGTTGTTTCACACGATGAATAAAATAAGTTTCAAAGCTTCAGAAAGAATATATATATTCCAGATAATATATTGTAATTTGTATTTGTTCTGATATAATACAAATATATGGAGGGTCGTGTCACATGTTTTATTTTTGCACTTTATAAATCACACAGTCTCACAAAAAAATAGGCTCCTCCATTTCGTTATGAACGTTTAAATGTAGAAGAAAAAAATATATTTGTAACGTGTTCGTGGCGTCATATCATTTATCTCGCCATCATACAATTAAGTGACCTTCTACCATAGCTGAGTGATGCTATATCATACCCACCCCCCTCGGGAAATCTATATCGGTGAATGAGTTGGTTTTTATCCTCTGAAACACACTATTGGATGATACATGTATCATTCATGGAACGATACATCGACTCCTCAGCATGGAAATTGAGGTGAAATGGGGTTTAACGTCGCGTCCAAGGTTATTACACTTATAGACTATAGCGTGCACGTGCATGCGTGCGTGCGTGCATGTTTGTGGCTGCTTGTACTCGTCCGGACTGATCCCGATTTATAGTGCTAGCTCACTGAGATACCATGCTAGTTTAACATGATACCCCACTCAAACACAGTATACTGATTCCCAGCCGACAAGTCCTTGTTTTAGCCCCTCAATGCCGAGCGCCAGACAGGGTTACAACAAGTACCATCTTTTAACTCTTTTGGTATAGCGGCCGGGGATCGAACCCCGGACCTCCCGTCTCCGGGCGGACGCTCTTCCACTAGACCACGGAGGCGTTTCCATCTTTTTGAAAAAGATCTTGTCCCGGAACTTTCTTGCAAACGATAATATCCAGGAATCTCAGAAACTATCCCTCCAGACTACGATGCTGAAGCCTCTCCCTTCATGTGGAGACAGGTCGGCACAACAGACCCCCCACCACCATCCCCCATCCCCCCATCCACCATCCCTTTAAAGCACAGAACTTTTTTTTCATGAACATTAATTTATCTCGTTAAATTCTACAGAACCTAAAGATGTATTCAATTAAATGGTTATCTGAAAATAATCCAAAGCGGGTCAAAGGTATTGCTTCCACCATAAGAACCAAATTATTCATATGATGCTAGCATTTTTTATTGTTCTACATCATTTAATACGATTATATTATTGTAAATAGTATTTTACGGACATAATGTAAT